GCGCCATCGCTGCACCGCCAGGTACCGGGGAGAAAAGGCCCGCCTTTCCTCCCTCTTCCTCCTCCTCTGCTCTCGCTCTCTCTCTCCCTCTCTCGTTCGCTCTCTTCCTACCCTTTGAGTCTCAGTCTACTCTCGGGTCGCTCCTACTGGACTACTATGGCTATGGAGGATGGTTGCCAGTTCTGATGACAGTTGAGATAGTAACATTGAGACATTGGTTGAGGACTACTTCAGGGATCTGACTTCACCTATTTCTGGAGATGTATCTTGATATTGGGAGATCGACATCTTGGACACCGTGAGGCTCTGTTTTCGCGACATTTCGGTTTTGCATTACTTATGACATTCGAGATACTATTTTTGGATACTTGGTGTTGACGTCATCTTCCCTCTCCTCCTCCTTTTCGATTCTCCTCTCCCTCCATTCGTCCGTGTATGATCTAAGACCCTGGCCTTTTCCTTCTGTGTCCAAGGCCAGGGCTTTCACACCACGGATGCATGTTGAGAGTATTTGTATGAATGGTCGGTTCTAGGAATCTGCGCCATACTTATGACTGTGTTTCACGAGTATGCAACAGTTTGGTATCGGAGCAGACCAGCATTGGATGACTCACCATTGATTGATTGATTGATTGATTGATTGATTGATAAATTGATTATCTACACCTGTGCTCTATTATCATTAATCGTAAGTTGCAATTTTTTTCCTTTTCTTCTGCTACATAGTAATTAGGTCGTTTGAGTTCTAATTTTAGGTTTTGCGGCTTTCTCCATACGGCGCATAATTAGGAAATCGCTAATCACGATTAACCTAATCAGAGCTAATTAGGGTTAGTCCTAACCTAATCTAACAACCTATCAAGCCTATGGGAAGTAAGTGTCAGCCAGGCACCGCGCCAATTAAGGCAGATCAGGCCTGAGCACGACCACATTCAAACTGCAACTTCACGGAACTTTCACTTTTTGCAAAACGCATCTTTCATTGCGATTAAAGTTTAAATCTTTACAGCAAATTGTGTATCTTCCTGCCACCATTGACTTTCTACTTACTTCATGACCTCGTAAGGATGCTGAATCCTCCGGATTAAATTTCATGAAATTATTTAATTAAAATTATGACATTATTCTGTTTAAATGTTTAAATCTTGTTTAAACTTTATTCGAATTTATGTTGCAAATTTAAATATTCTTTAATTAAATATTTACTTTTTGCCAAATCAAAATTTTATTTTTTCCAGATTAAATTTAAATAAATTTCATTAAATATTTAATATTTAATTTTTCAAAATTTGAATTTTCGTGGGAGGATTTTTTTTCCCATTGATTAGTGTCAATTCCGAGGTCAGGGCAGAAAGGAACTGTTGGTGCATTGGTTGCCTTCCTCCCCTTCTTCCCACCCCTACCTTCTCTTTCCTCCCCTCGGTAGCCTCTGGCCACATCACCATTGTGCCACATCAGCAGCGTGCCACGAACGCAGATTGCCACATCAGCAGCGTGCCACCCCAGCGTGCCACGACAGCAGATTGCCAAATCAGCCGCGGCCACCTCAGCAGTGCCACATCAGCAGATGCCACCTCAGCAGTGACACGTCAGCAGCAGACGAAGACAAGTCTACTTGATGCGCCGCAGTCAACGGCTTGCTGAGCGCGGATCCGCAGGAGCCAAGCCTCAACAGGGACCCAAGACACCTCGGATCCCGCGCAGACAACGCACGACCATGGCCGAAACTGCCGACGTCAATACGCAGGCCAGCCCCAAGAGGCCGGTCACTCCTCCCATGCCAGTTCGGCAGACAGATTAATCGCAACTCACGTTTCTCGAACGTCTCCAACATTACGCGGAGACTTCTGCCGCCGAACTTCGCAAATGGGAAAAGGAGGAGGCCGCCCGCCAGGAGGAAATTCAACGCCGGCTGGAAGAGGTCGAAGCAGCACGTCGGCAGGCCGCAGCCGAAGCTGCAGCAACCGCACGGTTGCATCAGCAGCAGGTCGAGGCAAGTCAAAATCAAGCTCGTTACCAGGCCACAATGGACCTCGCAAAAGACGAAGCCAAGTACCGCCGACTACTTCGACGACAACATTTCCAAGCAACCGAAGAACGAGAAGAGCCGACCGAGGAAGAGAGCGACAAGGAATCCACAACAGTATTAATGGAAAACCTGCTGTACACGTGCAACTGGCAGCAACACGAACTGCTGGCCATGAAGCAGATCTTCATCCGCTACGAAACAACTTTTCGGACGCAGGATCAGAAGATCGTTGCCTTGCAGACCGCGAACCGCGACCAGCAGGCCATCAACGACCAGTTGCAGACCACTGTCAGTACAGGATTGGCACGATTGTGTGCAATTGAGTCAACGGGCAGTGCAGTTGTAGACTGCAGCCCAACTTTGGCCACTCAAGCCAAGCAACTCGAGGAGCGGATCAACCACGCCGTAGCATCCCTTGGCGACATCAGCAAGTTTGTTGGAGCATCGACAGTCAGCAATCAGCTGCAGACATTCAGCGACCACGTTCAGCAACAACCGGCCGCCGTCGCCAAAGAATGGAAGATGCCGAACTTCAAGATTGAGAAGTTCGACGATTACCACAAGACTGATCCGCTGCAGTGGTGGATGACATTCAACGCAGAGGCAGACGTACATCATGTCCCACCCGAACGGTGGCTTGACGCACTCTACCTCCAACTCATTGGAGGGGCGCAGGCTTTCATGACTCACATGGTCGTCACGTTGGAATGCACCATCGCCACCCTCCACACCAAGATCACGTGGGAGGAATTCGAGAAGAAGTGGAGGACCTGGTTCATGGTCAACAACGACAAACGTCACGCCTTGAACAAGATCTTCCGCATCTTTCAAGGCCAGCAAACATCACGGGAATGGCTGACGGAGTGGCAAAGACTCGTTGCCACTCCGGAGTTGAACCTGCCGTTCGACTCAATCCGGGCCGAATTCTTCGCCCGGTCTTGTGACGCCTTGACAGCTGCTCTTGGGAACGAATTCCAGTATGAGACATTTGATGCCATGATCTCAAAGTCCAGGGAGCTCATACAAGGTAGCCGGCGCGCGGCCAATGAGGCCCGCCGCCGGTTACGTGGAGAAAGGCAAAGGTCAGCGGACGCCGCAAGTAGCAGCGATCCAGCAAGGATCTAGCGAGGACCACACAACCGCGTCTACATCAAGCGACGGAGATGTGGCGGCAGCGATACCACAGCAATGCTCAAGACCCCGAGGGGGAAAACATAAGGCGAAACCAGCGTCGGCAGATGGAGCACGACAGTCACCATGGACGAAATTCGGTATCACCAAAGACATGTTCAAGCTGAGGCAAAAATGGGGATGCTATTTATGGTGCAACAACACCAAACACATCACGAGTGCATGCCTCGACAAGGACAAGGAAAATGTCAAGCGTCCAAGCTCGGGAAACTGAGCACCGCGGGAAGTGCAGCGACATCACTTCCCAATCCGCTGGAATCGGCAACCTTGCAAGCAGTCTCTCTCACATCCGGGGATGACGCGGTAGTCGCGAGTTCTCGGATTGACTTCGAGAACTATGCTGTCGAGTTGGTCCCGTCATTGAACCAGCCTCTCCACGTGCAAGATTCAAGCGCATGCGCAGTGTTACCGCCGTCGGACAACGAACCGATCGCTTCGCCAGCCCTTCTATCGGAAGATCCGTCAACTTGGGCGAGTCTTGAGGAACTCAACCCGTTGATAGTTGAGGACTTCGAATAGTCGCCTCTTCCCTCCGCCGGTTCTTTGCCAACACTGCATTGCAACGCCTTGCTGGCACAATTGCGTAAATACTTGCACGCTGCAGTACCACCTCCGTCGATGGACGACGGAGTAGCCGTTGTTGACCTTCGTAGCTATCCTGCGAAGATCGACCGCAAGCACACAACGCAACAGTACGTCGACATCGACGCACCGCTCCTCTGCATCCGCATTCAAATCGGAAAGGCGACCTGCAGTGCCTTGCTCGATTGTGGAGCGTCTCGCAACTACATCAGCCAAGACTTCATGGCACCCGCCGGGCTAGGCCCGCGTGTTCGAAGGAAAAGTCAGCCCACACACGTCACGTTCGCCGATGGTCACACGCAAAAGTCAATCGACCGCTGCGTTGACTCTGTGCCCGTGTACTTTGCCCCGCTAGCATGCGAGGTCGTGTCATTCAACATATTGGACACTAAGTTTGATATCATCTTAGGCATGTCGTTGCTGCAAAGCGAAGACCATCCGGTAAACTTTTTTTGACGCCCCGTTTACGTTCGTGATCGGCGTGGTGAACTAGTTCCGTGCACGGTGCCGCTTCCTCATCCTTCGATTGGTTGTCACATGGTCTCCGCGGCAAGCATTCGCCAATGCATCCGGCGGAATGACATCGAGGAGATGGGCATGTGTTTTCTCCACGCCCTCCCACCCGGTGATCTGCCCAAGATGGACACATCGGACCCACGCATCATTGAGCTTTTGGACAGCTATGAGGATGTCTTCCAAGCTCCCGCCGGAATAGTACCAAATCGGCCCATGGGATCACTCTCGAGGACGTGGCCGTACCTCCGCGCGGATGCATCTACCGAATGAGCGAAGAGGAGTTTCAAGTGCTTGAGGCACAACTAGACGACCTCTTGGCAAAGGGCTGGATTCGCCCTAGCTGTTCGCCATACGGTGCTCCCGTTCTTTTCATTCGGAAGAAGAACAAGGACCTTCGTTTGTGTATCGACTATCGAAAATTAAATGCACAAACGATCAAGAACGCCGACCCTCTCCCTCGGATCGATGATCTTCTTGAACGACTAGGCGGGGCCAATTACTTATCGAAGCTTGACCTCAAATTCGGATATCACCAGATCGAGATCCAGCCAAAAGATCGGTACAAAACCGCATTCAAGACGTGGTATGGACATTTTGAGTGGATCGTCATGCCTTTCGGTCTCACCAATGCCCCGACTACTTTCCAAGCGGCCATGACGACGGAATTCTGCGACCTGCTCGACCACACCGTACTCATTTACCTCGATGATATCTTGGTTTATAGCCGGTCGTTGGACGAGCACCTCGAGCACCTTCGCGCCGTTTTGGAGTGGCTCCGTATCGCCAAGTACAAGGTGAACCGCGACAAGTGCGAGTTTGCCCACCAAGAGCTGGAGTACTTGGGCCATTACGTTACACCGCAAGGCATTCGTCCGTTTGCGGACAAAGTACAAGCCATTCAAGATTAGCCGGACCTCACGTGTACCACCGATGTCCGCTCCTTTCTCGGCTTAGCATCATATTACATGCGCTTCGTCAAAGGATTTCAACGGATCACTGCACCATTGTCGTGACTTCAGTCCCCCTTGGTGCTCTTCAAGTTCAACGACGAAGCCCGACACGCGTTCCATACGCTAAAGACGGCCTTGCTTCAAGCTTCCGTCCTAAGCATCTATGACCCGACCTTGCCTTCCAAAGTAACTACGGATGCTTCCGGTTACGGCATTGGCGCGGTTTTGGTACAACATGACGACACAGACTGGCATCCGGTTGAGTAATTCAGCCAAAAGGTGCCGCCCATCAATTCTCTTGATGATGCGAGGAAGAAGGAACTGCCAGCTTTTGTCACCGTACTTAAGCGTTGGCGTCACTTTCTCCTCGGGCGTCGGCGATTCACGTGGGCAACGAACAACAATCCGTTGACTTATTACAAGACGCAAAACACGGTGAGCAGCACGATCGGTCGCTGGATGTACTTCATCGACCAGTTCGACTTCACCTCCAAGCATATTTCGGGCCCCTTGAACAAGGCAGCGGATACTCTGTCGCGAAGACCCGATCTTTGCGCCTTGGTGCACTCCACATTCGGCCTCGACAAGGACCTGCAACAACATTTCGTAAACGGCTACAAGTCGGATTCGGGATTCTCCACACTCTACGCGGACTTATCATCGGATCACCCGCCGACAAGTCATTATCGCACTGTCGACGGCTACTTGCTTCTCCATACACGAGGCAAGGACTTGTTGTGTGTTCCCCAAGACCGCATCTTGCGCACTCGCCTCCTAGGCGAATACCACGATTTGCGGCTGGCAGAACACCTTGGCGTCGCACGCACACTTGCACGACTCCGCCAGCGATTTCACTGGCCGGACATCATCAGCGACGTCAACCGGTACATTCAGTCATGTGCAGTTTGCCACTGGAACAAAGGGCGCCATCAGCTCCCGTACGGCGAATTGAAACCATTCCCGATTCCTCGCCAACCAGGTCTCTCCATTGCTATGGACGTAACCGGTCCTTTCCCTCGCGATCGCCTTGGCCATGATGGTATTCTCACGGTCGTCAACCGTTTGAGCAAGTACGCTCGATTTCTTCCATGCAAGTATCATGCAATGGCTCCCGAGCTTGCACGACTTTTGCATACCGGCTGGTTTTGCAGCCACGGCGTTCGGGAAGACATCGTCAACGATTGCGACACTCGTTTCATATCAACCTTTTGGACGACACTCATGGTGGAATGCGGCACCAGCATGAAACCGAGTTCCGCACGACATCCTCAAACGGATGGGCAAACGGAACGTGCGCACCGGACTGTGCAGATGATGCTCCGCACATCCGCCCGGATCAGAAGGACTGGGTTGACCGCCTTCCTAACATCGAGTTCGCCTACAACACTTCGGTGCACCCGACGATCAGCGTGACTCCTTTTGAGTTGCATCACGGTGGACGGAAAGGTCATATCTTCGCAGACATTTTGCTTCCACGGGCTGCCGATATCGACGCCGCTTGCTCCCCTGCTTCTACACGGAAGTACAGGGAACTGTTGGCCAAGGCCCGCACAAATATGCAAAAGGCTCAGGTCCGTATGCAGCAGCAAGCGAATCGGCGTCGCATCCCATGTCCAATCTGCGCCGACAACCTTGTTTGGGTCACCTCCGAGGAATTCGAGCTTGAGCAGCACGTCTCGCGCAAGCTCCTCCCCAAGTGGTTTGGGCCATGGAAGGTCACTTCAGAAGCTGGCGACGACCCCGCGGGTCCCTCTTTCATAATCGAGATTTCCCCGCACCTGACGGTCCACCTAGTATTTCACACTTCAAAGCTGGCAGTCTATACTCCAGCCTCACCAGCGGATTTCCCGGGCAGACAGTCACACGACCCTCCATCAATGGATGGTCACCAGGAAGTCGACCGCGTCCTCGCTCATCGCAAGCACGACAATAAGCCGATGCAGTACAAAGTTACGTTCAAGCAATGCAATCTCGACGACACACGCCGGATTTCACGAGCTGATCTAAAGGCGACAACACCCCTCATCTTCGAGCATTACCAAAAACAACGACTTGCTAAGGAAGCTGCCCAACCTGCCCGCTCCGTACGGATATCGGATAGACAGCTTTGCCCTCGCAGCTAGCTCGGTTTTCAAGGGGGGGAGTGTGTGGCATACTTATACCACACGGGCCCCAGTAAGGCCCGGTCCTGTAGTAGGCACGGTTTAGGCCTAGGTACCGGGTCACGACGGTCCCAGATAGGTCCAGGTAAGCCTAGGAATCGTCGGTTCAGTTTAGGGTCCAGTAGGCCTCGTTTAGACCCCACCAGACACAACGGCTAGTTTG